GAATATATCAATCAGTTATAAATCAATGTATTTTTTATTTGATTAATCATTTATTATGTGTATCACATTGTTTTATTCAGAAAAAAGTTCTACTATGAAGTGCTGCTTGACTTAATATAATATACAATTTATGAATAAAAATTATTTATATAATTCTTTATATGTATAGAAGTTATCGTAATTGAAAATGATACTTTTTTTGGAGGAAAAACATTTTCATTGTTGTCCAAATATTTAATCAAACATTACAGATTTTAAAAAAGTCATCTTATATTCAAATGAACTTTTCATTCATAAAAAATGAGGTTCATAGTTTATACGTGAGTGTTGTGTAATCTTTAATGTCCTTCTTTTTGCAAACAGTGGAATATTTGCGCCATAAATTTGAATTTGTAAATGCGGAATACATGATGCAATTTTCACTTAATAAGAACTTCAACCTTTCTGTGGAATTGATGTGGTATTTTTGTCTTTACTCTGGCTTTGTGAAGCATATTGTTTTTCTTCTATACGAATTTTATCATCTAAATTAACCCTGATCTACATTGTATGTAACCAGTACAGACCAAGATCAGCCAGCATTACAGTGGCGGTTTGATTATCGCCTGCACTGTTTGCTACTCAGTCAATTCATACTTTGAACATTGTCTCAAAAAGATGAATGTTTTTGTCCAGATTGAAAGATAGACACGTTCATTTAATATAATTAACATAAGAAGAGATAATTTTGAATTTTTGGTTGTATAAAACATATTTTTTTCTGTGGATTAAGTGATTGATCAATATTTTGTGCTTATTGCTTAACTAGTAAAGTGTCTTAAAATTCTGTCTACAGTTAAACAGTCAGTCAGTGTTATAACTTTATATAAAAGGCTTTGTTTGTGTTATTAGTGTCGTTTTTTCCCAATTTTAAATCTAAAAGTTGCCAGTATTGAACAAAATCTGTGATAAAAGTGTGTGTTTGTTCTATTATCCAAATTCAGCTCAAAATTACATGACAGTGATAATTTTTAGTCTATCAATGTAACCAGTCTAGGCTAAAATTAAGATTATTTAAATGGTGTTTAACATTTTATCTTTGGTCAGTATAAGATTGTAATAATTGTTTTGTTTACTTTATTACTGGAGAAAAGTGTAACTCTGTTATGTGTCATGTTTTCATATGTTATTTCATTAATTTCGACCAGTTTAAATTTGGTAGAGATTGATTTCAGACTAATATGTTAGTGTATGTGAACCAGTCGATAATACAGCTTTGCCATTGGTCAGTTTTCAAGTAAAAAAGAAGTAAACAACAGCAAATAAGATAACAGGTTTTCAAAATGCTTTTATAGTTAGCTATCAATGTGGGCCTTTACCTAATTTTTATGTAAATTACTTAAAAGAGTTTATATATTTTATTTTGTAATAAGAATTCAGGGCATTGGAATTTTTTGTTTTAGTATATGTTTAGTGAATAAAGCAAATCTGTCGATCTATCAGTTTAGTTTTTTTAAGCCTGTTAGAAATAAGCTGAAAGTTTCTGGTCATTCAGTGATATGGTCAATATGAATAATTTCTTCATAATCTTTACGAGGCATTTTGAAGACTTGAGGTCAACCCACCATAGTTAAAAATCTCTTGAACAGAAACTTCACCAATAGTGTCATAAATAAACATAATTATCATCCCACCAATGTCTCTAATATTTCACAGAAGACTTAACAAAATTTGAGATTGATATAGTTGTTTATTAATATGTTTTCAATGTCATACACGGCCAATAATCCATTTCCAATTCTGGTATTCAATGATTACATTTTATATAATATTTTGAACTTTATTGCCAATAATTGTTAAAATTATCTTATTTTGATGTGATAAGTTAGATATTGAATGTTTATGATTTGAATGATATTAGTTAAATAAATGGTTTAAATGAATTACAGGGCCAATGAATCATGTGATAAGTCATTTATTGAATGTTTATGATTTGAATTAATCAGCCAAATATCATGATGAAACAATTTTGCTTGTATAGTACTCATAGTTACATTTAAAATACATTTGAGAGTTTGTTAGGATGAATATAATGTAAGTAAAAATATTGTTTGTAAAAATGATGTAAAATCTAGTTTGCCTAAATTTGTTTGAGTTAAATAAACATTTTTGAAAAAGTGTGCATGTCTGCTGGTCGGACGACCCCACCCACCAGCGTTTCAGTTGAAGGAAATAAACAAACACAGTCCATTTTACATTTCTTGTTGTTGATCCTACTTACATGGAAGTTATTTCATTTATATATAAACACAAACATTGATATTTTGAGAAGATAAATGATGGATGTGATTTGCCTTAAAATATTTTAACAGTTCACCAGATTTAGTTTTCCATTTGAGTTAATTCGTAACATTTCATAGATATATACATGTGTATGACATTAGACATCAACATTTATTACATGTATATGACATAATTTCTATCTTTCTTTATTTCACCATAGATGATTTATCTGTATACAACCACCTCATTTTATAGTCATTTCAACATGCGTATCAATAGAGTAATGTTAAATGTAAAGAGATTTCTTTATTCATGATTTGAAAATATATTCTTGAGGACTTTAATTTGCCATATTTCTGTTTGAAAGAAGATTTTGTATATATTCAAATTATAATAATTATGAACAAGCAGATATATTAGTGTTTTTCTCTCTTTTACATTAGTTACTCAAATACAATGTCATGTAAAGCATGCTTCACAATAAAATATGTTAATGAGTATTGTTGGGTTTTGTTGTTCATGTGATTTTAAGCAATCTAATCTTACTTACTTCCCGAGGTACCTTAATACTTATCCCACTTACCACCTCTGATAACATTCAGAACATCTAGGTGACTCACGGTAAGTCCAATAAAATAAATGATTATAAAAAAAAGGAGAAAACGAATTATAAAAGTTGAATTATCTGTCTTCAATGAGTCAATTTTTGCAAACATATGCCATTATTTTTTAAGCTGCAGATAGGTAAAATTTTGAAAACATTTTTGCATTTTTACTGACTGGAAAATCAACTTTAATTGTAAAGATTGGATGGTGATAGTTTTGCAATAGCTGATTCTAGATGTCATGGTATTTTCTAAATAATATACATAATCCTATAACAAAGTAGTAGAAAAATATTAACATAATATCAGTCTTGTACCAAGTTGACGACGAACACATGTCTGTTATCTAAATTATTTCCTGAATATGAGCCCCGCAATTAAGCGTTTTCAGATTCTTTCATCAGAACAAAACATCAGTGGTTATACTCGGGTTCCCCTTCGTGCCTGACATAATACATAGGCGGACACCTTAGGTCTTTTTCCGCCAGAATAGCTGAAAAGTCCCAATACGATGTAAAACGAAATGGTACAAACAATCCTGTTTTCTACAATCTTGAGTGATCATGTTTGCTACAAACATTTTATTATATACCTATAAGTTCTTTGATAGAAATACGGTCATTAATCATCTGCAATATTCTTTTTACAACAATTGTGGTTTTCTATAATGGCATAAAAAATAAAACTACTGTAAGGATTATTGTGTCAATTTTTTAAATTTAGAATGCATAGAATCTACATGTGTTAAATTTTTAAAGGGACACAATTCAATAAACTTTATTACCAATAGGAAGATATTCAAAACCAAAAGAGAAAGTTAAAATAGAAAAATTTCCATCAAGATCTACCCTGTTAAACAGAAATATATATATTTTCTTGATAGAAAATCCAGCATATAAAGAAAGTAAAACATAATTTTAATTAGTTATTTATATTAAAATTAGAAAATATAATAATGCATGTAATGTTGGTGCCTAATTTAAATTTCTGAAAGGGGAAACAATGCAGATTTTTTTTTTATAACAACAGGAAGTAGAACTGCATTGTTCCCATTAAACCCAAAAGAGGAAGTAAATATAGTCAAAATTCCACATACCCTGTTAACAGAAACACACATTTTTCTTGACTTTTTCATTACATTCGAATCCAACATTCAAAGTAAGTTACATATTTTTGTACATATTGTTTCAAATTAAGATCAAAGTACGAATATATCATTTTTACATAAAACTATGATAGTATAACGCGAGGAATTAATTTCAGTGGACAATGCTATAAACTCATTGTAATACCGCATTTTTCTGTAGATAAGACATTAAACACAGAAATACATATTTTTCAATTTTTTTAATATTGATGTTTTAAAGCCTTGAACAACTATGTATCAATGCAAACAACAATATATAGTATTTTAAGGGAAATAGTCCAATGTAATATTGATAATTTATTTAAAGTGAGTAATGTATCTTTGATAATGTTTTTGACAATATAAAGGAAGTTAGAAATTTTTGAAGAATTACATGAACAAAATTTTTGAGAATTACAAGTAAGAAAAAATAAATATGGTAATCACCATAAAAGACACTTTAACATGGAATACTGAGACACAGTCTGCTATGATTAACTTGAATATTTAAGATACATATTTACTTTTAAAGACGTAAAAATACTTTATTTACATAAAATTATATTTTAGGGAAGGATAATGTCAAAGCAAATAAAAAAATAATAATGCAATATCATTTATTACATGATATCTACATCAATAAACGCATATTAAAATTCACTTCTGTTCTAGGATACAAAGGATGATTTTACATTTAAATTAAGATAAGAAAATATAGTTAATGCATGTAAATGTTAAGATAGTACAATGTCGATGTTTTATTTAAATTTCTGAAAGGAGCACAATTCAAATAACATTTATAACAACATGGAGTGGAGGCATTGTAAGTAACAAGAAGAATTATTTAAAAAATAATAAATTGATGGCTGACTTACAAAATTTCCACTTTACACATGTTACAGAATGTTTCAAGAACCTGGCTACAGAGAAAACCTGTCAATGATGTTATCAGAGGTTTTATATGACATTGGTGTCAATGAAAGATTGGTGATGAGACGCAGAAGAGGAACAATGCTGAGAGAGACTATAATTAATATCCCGGACTGGTTAACTGATGAAAATGTGACTGCATATTTTCTAGGGAGTCAGAGTGAAGGTACAACTACTGTAGGTCTTGACTCAGACATTGATGTGCTAGTCTGTATGTATGATTGCAATATTATACAAGACATGTCAGAATGGAAACATTGCAAGGTAAACTACCTCATGATACAGGATGAGAACACTACACCTGGTTATTGTTTCTTACAACTGCTCCGACATGATGCACCTCTACCTGTCACTGCCAGTCCTAATGAAAACTATATAACTGATAGAAGTGGAAGAATATTGTATAAAAACACAGTAATACATGGTTTACTTGAATGTGCTGTAGGTCATGGGCCATCACTTGCTATACAAGGACAACCTGGAATCTGTGATAGAGACACAGTTTTAGCTTTTCCATGTAGATCATGGCCTCAATCAGCATCAAGTTGGTTAGATAGACAGGGTATTGACAGATGGCCAACACAAGAAATGAGAAGATATTTAGGCAGCACTGTGTGTTTTGTTGTTCCAACCGGAAGTAAGGTCAGTGCATATCATGAACTGGAATGGAGAATATCTACATCATTGGCAGAAAGGTGTTTAATACTCAACCTTAATGTAACACAAATAAGATGCTATGTGCTGTTGAAAATGATTCTTAAATTCTTTCTTAATCCTCAGGAAGAAATCAATATGTCAAGTTTCATGTGTAAAACAATTCTGTTACATTGTATAGAAAACACAGAGTCAAGTATATGGAAAGAGAACAATTTATATGCATGTTTAACATATTGCTTAGTGGAATTAAACAGCTGTGTACATAATGGTCGTTGTTCACATTTCATAATTCAAGAAAACAATTTGATGGCGGGGCAATTTACAACTGAGACAAAACATGAACTTTCAAAAAATATAAATGAATTTATTCGGAATGATAGACAAAGTCTAGTTAGAATTGGTATTGATGATCTTGGTCATAGACTGCAAGTTAAACTGAACAGGGTTCCACATGCAGTTCACTATTTTCAATCTTCTACTGAAATATATAAACATTGTTTGACCATAGACTTTTTTAACACAGCTTACAGTGTAAGTAAAAGTCATAAGGAAGTTTTGGAACATTTACTCAATAAAAGCATTAGAGCAATGACGCAATCCGTTGGTAAATTAATGACCGTCAGAGGTAATGGTAATAGATTAGATCATGCTGCATGCAAGTTTGTAGCACCTTTTCTTTTTACCACGTATGGGTCTGTCCTGGCATCACGTAATATTGGTGAATATAATCAAGTGTCACCTCAAGCATTGGTTTGGTTATCAGCTGGTATAAACTCAGATATCTCATCAGGCAGACTTAAATTGGCTTCAGTGCTTTACAGTACAGGAGATATGGAGAAAGCTGAACTTATTTTGAGACACACTGAACAAAAATATTTCACTTATCCGGTTTTCCCTATCTGTGGCTGCTGGACGAAGATTCCACAAGCAGTAACAGCAGAATTCACGAGGTTATGTAGTGAGCAAAACGAGGACTGTATCAAACATAAAACAGCATATTGTGTCAGATTTATACGGGAAGAGATCAACTGTGTTCCTCATGAACTACGATATGAGATGTTCAGATCTTCACAAGATGACAGGATACACAGAGATCAGTATAAAGACTATTGGATGGACTGGGCTGTAGTTGATTCTCTACCTTTCCTATACTTCCTACAATATAAGATCTACCGTCATCTACAAAGGCGCCAGGATCAACTACAAGCACTAAGTAAACTTATAAGAACCATAGAAATAGATAAAAACCTTGGACATAGAGAAACTGCTCTTAACATTTTAGGGCAATGCATGGAACAAGAAAACAGGCCTCAACAGGCATTAAAATGCTACATGCTTTCTCTTCAACAAAGACCAAGAAACAATGCCGCAAATATCCATATATGCATGCTTCTTGATTGAATATTGGCTGACCTAGGAATTGTGGATTAAATACAGAAAGGATTAAGACTGAAAATGTCAATAATCATAACTGCTTGTGTGTATAAAATTTTCAAATGTTAGAATATACGCTTTTTCATTCTTCTGTTTGATACATTTAAAGTCTAGATAGCATTGATTTAAAAGACCTTTTCCGGAGTTTTCATATACACAGGCAAAAAAATAAAACTGCTTTAATATTATAATTTCTTAAAACTTTGCGTTACACAGAAACATTTTCAGCGGAACAAATTTGGGTTAACCGTCCTCGAATTTGAGTTATCTGCTCCTTATTTTTTCCTTTATAAAAGGGCAATGAAGGTAAACAATACCTTTATTTTTCTTATTTTCAGCTTACTTCGGTTTAAGTCATTGTGCAAATTTTCAAAAGTGAATAAAGAGCAGATTATTTTTTGCTTTCTCTAGAATTGTGCATTTATCCTTAAAAATTGGCCTAGCTAAAATTAAATGTACCTCTTTACTAAAGCTTTTAATTGCAGTTTATTAAGTTGCATCTTCTTATGAATATTGACCATAAATTAAAAGAAAAACATAATCCAAAAGTACTATGAAACCCTGAAATGACCTTAAATAAGTAAATAATTCTGATTCAAGGGCAGAAAACTCGAAAGTTAGAATGGTGACACCCGACTTACTTTGCTAAAATATTTCTGCTATCGTTTTAAAACAACATGCCAGGCTTATAGAAATTCTATTGAACAGTTTTCAATTTTTGCCAACATGTGCCATTATCTTTATGCTGCAGATGGGTAAAATTTTGAAAAGATTTGCGCAATTTTTAATGACGGGAAAAATCAACTTTTATTGTAAAGATTGGATTTTACAATTGGATGCTGATAGTTTTGCAATATCTGATACTAGATGCCATTGTATTTTCTAAACAATATATATATATTATCGTAGAAAGAAAATAGCATAATGCCAAGTCTTATAAATATGTCTGTCATCTAAATTGTTTCCTTAATATACTGTGTGAGCCCCTCAAGCGTCTTCAGATTCTTTCAAGTGAGAAACATCAGTGGTTCTACCCAGGATCCCCTTCGTGTCTTAAATATTGCATAAGGGACACCTTAGGTCTTCCTCTACCAGAATAGCTGGAATATGATGTAAAACGAAATGGTACAAAAAAAGTCTTTTTTCTACAATCTTGAATGATCATGTTTGCTACAAACATTTTATTATGTACCTATGCGTTCTCTGATAAAAATACGGTCATTTATCACATGCAATATTCTTTAAAAGGGAACTTTTAAATTAGTTAGAACAGGAAGAAGAAGGGAGTTATTTCCCCTTCACATTTCATTCAAAACCAAAAGAGGAAGTTAAAATAGTAAAATTTCCATGAAGATCTACCCTGTAAAACAGAAAGAAATATTTTGTCTTGATATTCAATCCGGCATTTAATGTAAGTTACAATATAATTTTAAACATATAATTACACATTTATATCAAAATAAGAAAATATAGTAATGCATGCAATTTTAAGATAGTGTAATGTGGTTGTTTCATGCAAATTGAAGGATATGTAACTTGAAAAATTCTCAAAAATATTTTTGTTAAAGATTATTTGTTAATTGAACCTTGTAAGAAAAAATAAGATTTCCCTTGGGTTTGGAGTTAATGTTTCATTGTTAAGTTTCTTGTTATTGATTGGCAGTTTAATTTGTGTTTTGATGAATGAAATTACAGATTGAATATATCAATCAGTTATAAATCAAGGTATTCTTTATTTGATTAATCATTTATTATGTGTATCACATTGTTTTATTCAGAAAAAAGTTCTACTAGGAAGTGCTGCTTGACTTAATATAATATACAATTTATGAATAAAAACTGTCTTTATATGTATAGAAATTATCATAAGTGAAAATGAGACTTTTTTGATGAGGAAAAACATTTTCATTGTTGTATAAATATTTAATCAAACATTACAGATTTGAAAAAAAAGTCACCTTTTATTCAAATGACTTTTTTATTCATAAAAAATGAGGTTTATAGTTTATACGTGAGTGTTGTGTAATCTTTAAGGTCCTCCTTTTTGCAAACAGTGGAATATTTGCGCCATAAATTTGAATTTGTAAATGCGGAATACATGATGCATCTTTCATTTAATAAGAACTTCAATCTTTCTGTGGAATTGATGTGGTATTTTTGTCTTTACTCTGGCTTTGTGAAGCATTTTGTTTTTCTTCTGTATGGATTTTATCATCTAAATTAACCCTGAGCTATGTTACAAGTACAGACCAAGATCAGCCAGTATTTCAGTGGCTGTTAGATCATCACCTGCGCTGTTTGCTACTCAGTCAGTTCATTTTGATCATTGTCCCAAAAAGATGAATGTTTTTTCCAGATTGAAAGATCGTTCATTTCATACTATTAACATAAAAAAAGATAATTTTGAATTTTTGGTGGTATAAAACATATTCTTTCTGTGGATTATGTGATTGGTATTATGTGCTTAATGCTTAACTATGAAAGTGTTTTAAAATTCTGTCTACAGTTAAACAGTCAGTCAGTGTTATAACTTCATATAAAAGGCTTTGTTCGTGTTATTTTTGTCGTTTTTTTTCCAATTTTAAATCTAAAAGTTGCCAGTATTGAACAAAATCTGTGATAAAAGTGTGTTTTTGTTCTATTATCAAATATCAGCTCAAAATTACATGACAGTGATAATTTTTGGTCTATCAATGTATCCAGTCTAGTATTTAAATAGTGTTTAACATTTAACTTTGGTCAGTATAGGATTGTAATAATTGTTTTGTTTACTTTATTACTGGAGAAAAGTGTTACTTTGTTATGTGTCATTCTTTCATGTGTTCTTTTATTAATTCTGACCAGTAGATTTGTTCAGACTAATATGTTAATGTTTGTGAACCGGTCGATAATACAGCTTTGCCATTGGTCAGTTTTCAAAAAAAATGAATTAAACAACAGCCAATCAGATAACAAGTTTTCAAAATGGTTTTATAGTTAGTTATCAATGTGGGCCTTTACCTAATTTTTATGTAAATTACTTAAAAGAGTTCATAGTTTTTATTTTGTAATAAGAATTGGAATTTTTTGTTTTAGCATATGTTTAGTGAATAAAGCAGATCTGTCAAAATATCAATTTAGTTTTTTTAAGCCTGTTAGAAATATGCTGAAAGTTTCTGGTCATTCAGTAATATGGTCAATATGAATAATTTCTTCATAATCTTTACGAGGCATTTTGAAGACTTGAGGTCAACCCACCATAGTTAAAAATCTCTTTAACAGAGACTTCACCAATAGTGTCATAAATAAACATAATTATCATCCCACCAATGTCTGTAATATTTCACAGAAGTCTTAACAAAATTTGAGATTGATATAGTTGTTTATTAATATGTTTTCAATGTCATACACGGCCAATAATCCATTTCTAATTCTGGTATTCAATGATTACATTTTATATAATATTTAATAATTGTAAAATTATCTTATTTTGATGTGATAAGTTAGATATTGAATGTTTATGATTTGAATGATATTAGTTAAATAAATGGTTTAAATGAATTACAGGGCCAATGAATCGTGTGATAAATCATTTATTGATTGTTTATGATTTGAATTAATCAGCCAAATATCATGATCTTGTATAGTACTCATAGTTAATACATTTAAAATACATTTGAGAGTTTGTTAAGATGAATAAATAATGTAAGTAAAAAATATTGTTTGTAAAAATGATGTATCATCTAGTATGCCTAAATTTGTTTGAGTTAAATAAACATTTTTGAAAAAGTGTGCATGTCTGCTGGTCGGACGACCCCACCCACCAGCGTTTCAGTTAAAGGGAATAAACAAACACAGTCCATTTTATATTTCTAGTTGATCCTACTTACATGGAAATTTATTTCATTTTTATGTTAACACAAACATTGATATTTTCAGAAACTAAATGATGGATGTGATTTGCCTTAAAATATTAACGTTTCACCATTTGAGTTAATTTGTAACATTTCATAGATATATACATGTGTATACATGTGTATGACATTAGACATCACCATTTATTACATGTATATGACATCATTTCTCTCTTTCTTTATTTCACAATAGATGATTTATCCTTATACAACCACCTCATTTTTATAGTCATTTCAACATGTGTACATTGTATCAATAGAGTAATGTTAAATGAAAACAGATTTCTTTATTTATGTTTTGAGAATATATTCTTGAGGACTTAAATTTGCCATATTTCTGTTTGAAAAAAAATTTTGTATATAATCAAATTATATTAATTATGAACAAGCAGATATATTAGTGTTTTTTCTCTCTTTTACATTAGTTTCTCAACTACAATGTCATGTAAAGCATGCTTCACAATAAAATATGTTAATGAGTATCGTGGGGTTTTGTTGTTCATGTGATTTTAAACGATCTAATCTTGCTTACTTCCCAATTATTCCACCGGTATTTTTTATCCCACTTACCACCTGTGATACCATTTAGAACATCTATGTGAGTTACTGGGCAAGTCCAATAATAAAATAATGATAAAGTTGAAAAGGAATTATAAAAGTTAAACTGTTTGTTTTCACTGAAAGTTAATTTTTGCAAACATGTGCTAGCAGATGGATAAAAATTGAAAAGGTTCGCACAATTTTTTGTGACTGGAAAAACAACTAATTGTAAAAATTAGATTGTGATAGTTTAGCAATAGCTAAATCTAAATGCCATTGAATTTTTGAAACAATACACATAATCCTATAACAAAGTAGAAGAAAGAAAATAACATAATGTCAGTCTTGTACCAAGTTGACGAAAACATGTCTGTTATCTAAATTATTTCTTAAACATGAAAACATGAGCCTCGCTATTAAGGGTCTTCACATTCTTTCATCAGAACAAAACATCAGTTTTGAATTTCTGAAAGGGGGAACAATGCAGTTTTTAACAACAGGAAGTGGAACTGCATTGTTTCCCCTTCATGCAAAACCAAAAGAGGAAGTGAAATTCCACGTAGCCTATTAAACAGAAGCAAATATTTTTCCTTGACCTTTTTTAGAAATCCAACATTGAAAGTATGTTAAACAATATTTTTTTCCTACACATTTCACATTTGTATTAAAGTTTTAATATATCAATAATACCATACATGTAAAATTTAAGATAGTGAAATACGAGTTTATAATTCCAATACCTTCTTATTCAATACATGCTACATGTAATAAACATAAATATGTGCTGTTAACAAGACATTAAATACAAAAATACATAATTTTCAAATTTTTAGCTACTGATCCTTTAAAGCGTTCAACAACTATGTAACTATGCAAAGAAATACAGTAAAGTAAGGGACATTATCCAATTTAAATTTGATAATTTATTTAAAGTGAGTTATGTATCTTCGGTAATTTTAATGACAATTAAGAACAAAATTTATTTCCAGAATTACAGGAACAAAATTTTTGATTAGGTAAATTACTGCTGAAATTACATTTCCAAGCAGAAGCAGGAAGATATCAAAGCTAATAAAAAAGAGAAAAAAAAGAACTGATTATAAGTCGGTATATTCGTCAACTTATTAAATGAAATTTTCTTATATCAACACTGTTTATTCTGTCCTGTTATATTGTAGGATATAAAAAGGATAAATAAATAATAAGTAGAATTATTAAATAAAATAAAAATAGTGGCTGTCTGAAACAATTTTTCGTTCACAAATATATTACAGAATGTTTCAAGAATCTGAATACAGAGAAAACCTATCATTGATGTTATCAGAGGTTTTACATGACATTGGTGTCAATGAAAGAATAGTGATGAGAAGGAGAAGACATTCCATACTGCGAGAGACTATGAATAATATCACATTCAGGTTAACTGATAACAATAGAACTAAATATTATCTAGGAAGTCAGAGTGAAGGTACAACTACTATAGGACTTCATTCAGACATTGATATACTGATATGTATTCATGATTTCAATATTATGCAAGACTGGTCAGAGTGGGAACATGGCAAGTTCAACTTTCTCATGATACAGGATGAGAACACTACCCCCGGCTATTGTTTCTTACAACTGCTCCGAGATGATGTACCTCTTCCTCACACTGTCATTCCTGATGAACATCATATAACTGATAGAAGTGGAAGAATATTGCTTAAAAACACAGTAATAAATGATCTGATTCGGGGTACTGTAGGTCATGGACCATCACTTTATGATCAAGGACAACCTGGATTCAGTGATACGGACTATGTGTTTGCATTACCTTGTAAAACATGGCTTCAATCAGCATTAGGTTGGTTAAATAGACAAGGTATTGGCAGATGGCCAACACAAAAAATGAGAAGATATGCAGCTAATACTTGGTGTTTTGTTGTTCCAACTGGAAGTAAGGTCAGTGAATATCCTGAATTGGAATGGAGAATATCTACATCATTGGCAGAAAGGTGTTTAATGCTGGATTTAAATGTAACACAAATAAGGTGCTATGTGTTGTTGAAAATGATTCTAAAATATGTCCTTTACCCTCGAGGTATAATAAATATATCAAGTTTCATGTGTAAAACAGTTCTATTACATTGTATAGAAAACACAGAGCTATGTATATGGAAAGAGAACAATTTATTTACATGTTTAACACATTGCTTGTTGGAATTACACAGTTGTGTACAGAATTGCCATTGTTCACATTTTATTATCCGAGAAAATAATTTGATGGCAGGGCAATTTACAGCATTTTCTGTGGCTGCTGGGATAAGCCTTTACCTACACTAACAGCAGAATTCATAAGGATATGTGGTGAGCAAAGTGACGACTGTATTAAACATATTACAGCATTTTGTGTCAGATTTATACAGAAAGAGAACAACTGTGTTCCTCATGAACTACAATATGAAATGTTCAGATCTACACAAGATGATATGATGCATAGACTTGAAAGAGAAGACTTTTGGATGAACTTTGCTGTAGTTGATTCTCTACCTTTCCTGTATTTCCTACAATATAAAGTCTATCGTCAGCTACAAAGGCATCACGATCAACAACAAGCACTTGGTAAACTTATAAAAAACATAGCAAAAGACGAAAATCTTGGACATAGAGAAACTGCTCTAAACATTTTAGGGCAATGTATGGAACAAGAAAACAGAACTCAAGAAGCATTAAACTGCTACCTGTTTTCTCTTCAACAAAGGGCAAGAAACAATGTAGCAAACTTACATATATGTAAGCTTCTCTCCAGCATGCTAGGCAATAATGTCAAGTGAAAACACAAAATATGAAGATTTCAACGGTTCAAATGTTAATATTCAATTGTTAATACATAGGCCTGTCATCAGTCTTTTTGTCACGCATTATTTTAAAATACCTTTCAGCATGTTAAACTGAATGAATCAAGACTTTGAAAATTTGACTTAACATTTGGGTGTCAAAAGACTCTTGAAAAGAGGACAACTTCACAAGAAAGTTATGATCAACATTATAGTTTTCAGACGACGATGGCAACGACATTGTCGAGACAACGGTAACGGGTACAGGAAAGCCAACATGATTGTAACAATAACTTTTTTATTTCAAAGATAACGATGCCGAGCTAAAAAATATTATATCTGTTTTATTAAATGAAAGTTTAAACGAGTGTTAAACAAGATAATCTACCAAATAATATCAATTATTTCATATTCTATATCAATAATGGAAAACATACTAGTATTTCATTTATGATATAAAATCTACATTATATCACCCTTCAGAAAACTCTGATCGACAAAACTTACTGTTCATTTTATATTTCACTATTCACGGTGAAATATATTAGTAAATAACAGACTGAACAAACAATATTTAATTAATATTCCGTTTCTTTGTATATGATGATGAATGAAAAGCTGTATTTCATATGTCTGATATAACATCTTATCTCAATGTCTCATGCTAAAAACTAATTGTTTCTTCATGCAGTTGTATCGTATATATATTATCAATGTGAAACTCTTTTGCAGGCCTATAAATACCATACTGAATTTGCCATGTTGTAAATTTGGAGCTGTCACTTTGGTGTTTATAATACAAAACACAAAACTCGGTATTCATTTATCAGTAATAAGCGCTGCAAATGCAGGCTTGTATACATGGAAAAAATCTTTTAAGTAGGGAAGAGAGAAATTAATCTTATAATATTATAATTATTTTTCAAATGATAACAATTGACAAGGAAATTAAACAAACAAAAGATATTCAAATTCTTCTTATATTTTTTCTTCTTATTCAAGCAGTCAAGCTTGGTTTCTCTTACCTTCAATAGATATAATCATATAGTCCTGAAAATATTTCTGTATCAAAAAGGTTTTCAAAGAAGTGTATAAAGGTATATACCTGTTGTTAATAGTTTTCATGGTTGTTGTTTGGATTTTGAAAAGAATATTACAAAAATATCTGTATAAATGAAATGTGAATGATTATATACTTCTTTAAGAGTGAACATTTACAAAATGTATGAGTTTTAACTAACAGAGACATTATTTTCATTAGGTCTTCTGCCTTCAATATACAAGCATATCACTTCAGTGACCCATGACGAGTCGCTTTTTACAGGTAAAAAAAACCTGTATCACGTGACACTAGTTTTATACTATAAGTACCAATGCACCAAAAACTCATAGTCATTTCAGCGACCCTGGCTTCTTGGTGACAAGTCGGAGCAATCATAAGGTAAGCAACCACGTGTATGGCTGAAATGAATTTTTTTATTTTGTGGGCTATTATTTCGCTTTGTTTTGTATCGATGTTAGTGCATGGTTAGTACACTATAGCATAGACGTTTTTGCTTAAAGCCCACGAATCCCTTTGAAATTATTTTATTCGTTCTTAACGAGATCGAATTAACGTAAGAGAAGTGAAAAAGAGAATGGCAAAGTCTAATCTTTAGAGCATTGAAGCTCAGATGAATTTTCGGGGTTTTCTAGTATATTCGAGTCAGAATATAATGCCCCGTCGAGGGCCTCTATGTTCTGTTGTCAAGGACTTGAGTAACAAAAATAAAACCCCAAAAACCAAAGTTAGTCTGTAATTTCCGGAGAGAAAATAAACAAATCTGCTGAGACAGTTAAAAACGAATAATTCGTGTAAAATTGATTCAAAAAACAATATACATGTAATTGGTTCGAATTTTAAGTACATTTTGGGACTTTCAAGGTAGCAGACATCCAATGAATGGATTTTGCCAGATAATGACGATTCATATGCTTCTATCCGATGATAATTGGCATGAGACGTGTAGCTCTGAAAACTGGAAATTAATATAGTCGTAAAAACTTTCTTTATAAAGCTTCCATGAATCAAAATTTAATTATTCTTTTGATCCTATTAGGGGCAAAGGTGCTAGTGTCATTGATTTGACCTAAAATGTGTTAAGCCATAAAATATGCATATATTTATTAGAAAAAATAAAAACGAAAAAAATACTGTGATATTGTTATAGACAATATAAAAGTATTTTTTTTCTTAATATATGGATATTTTATAGCATAAATAACAAGGTTAAACATATTTTAGGTCAAATCAATGCCACTAGCAACTTTGATTAGGGGTACAGGAGCAGAGGAAGCTATAACTGCTAAACAAAACCATATGGAAGACCAATAAATATGAAACAGAATAAAAGTTATGTACAATCGGGCTTTCAGCATATTATTCAATGCAAGAAAGTGTAGAACACTGCGATGAAGAAAGTACAGAAAACTGACACAGCTACAAGTACAAGCCCCAACTAGAAATCAAAAAATTGAAAATGCTGCAGGCTCGGTTTGATTGAGCCTGTTCGGGGGCGATACTGGAAAGTGCAAGTAACCGTCCACGCTAGCACCGGATTAAGAAGAATTCAATATTTTACGCGGAAATGGTGAAATTTTGAATTTATAAACACGCAGATGTGTTCATACGACGGTTATCATGGAACCTTCAATGTGACACAGTAGTGCCATTCCATGAAAAGCAGTGTACGGACCCCATGTAATAGAATGCGTGGGCCCAATGGTCAGAACTTAATAAAATGGAATTTTGAAAGGGGATCTGAGGTAATGAAGCCTACATACTAGTATCACAAATAAGGTGTCAAAAGATAAATTTAGAAAAGCATGCAACATATCATTCGGGTGATTATACAAATATACTGGAACCAAACAAGTTGAAAAGGGCTTAAAAGAAGAAACTTAAAGGACCACATAACATGTGTATACACAACAATAATGTCGTAACTTCAAGGATCGAAAATATAACATCATTTATTAAATGAATGGGGCGACTTTTTACAGCCGCCACACGTCACAAATAACACGAAAGTGACAATAAAATAGAGAAAAAAGAAACCCTGACGAATTCCAACACGTCAAAATTGAAAATGTTGCAAAATTGAAAATTGTTACAAACCTAAAAACATTAATTATAAACATGATACTAAAAGTTTTCTGATAAAAAATATGGTCTTTCATCACACGCAATATCCTTTATAACAATTGCTGTTTTCAATGAAATTAAGGTTTAGAATGGTTCTATTTGTCGTAATTTTCATTTAAAACCAATGAAGGCAAGCAAGTCAAATCAGTCCCAAAATTAGTCAAATCGGGCCTGAAAAATACCTCTGTCAGAAATATCCTGTTTTGAATAAAAGAACGATATTAACTGAAAATTGTGCTTAAAGAAAAACATAGCAAACAAAAATAAGTCATATAAATTAAAACAGCTTTGATACTTGTGGAAATTGTTAGGAGCCGATTAAACTTTAGGCCGATCTGACTGTAAAAAAGAAGAAGTTATAAGATCAAAATTTCATTTTAGATTAACCCTGTCAAACAGAAGGATAGGATTATATCATATTATTGGATTTAGCGTTTTATGTAAGTTATAAATAACTTTAATCATGAAATTACACATTCGTATTAAATTAAAAATAAAGTTTGCCTCTTGCCCTGTTGTGCCATCATCCTATCCCTTTAAAAATGATTTTTCTTTTGAAAAACCTCCTGAATCAACTCTTGATGATAAAGAAATAATTATAAAAATAATAAGTATAAATTGACCTAAAATACCAGTAAAAAACAAGGTACCTATGTTTTTACGAGGGTTGTCCTAAAATGTCGTAGACTACATTATTTAGATTTACCAGATATCTTCCTTGGTCATTCGTTAATTTACCTACTTAAAGTCAAAAGCCAATATTTTATCAGGGCTTTATATTTAACAGTACAACATACCCGGAGCACGATAAAATATTAGTCAGTTTTGAGAGCGTGCTTTATTTTCCCTTCAACCTAACGTCATAACTTAATAAAATTTACCAGATATCTTCCTTAGTCATTCGTTAATTTACCTACTTAAAGTCAATAGCCAATATATGAGTCAACGCTTTTTATCAGGGTTTTATATTTAACAGTACAACATACCCGGAGCACTATAAAATATTAGTCAGTGTTGAGAGCATGCTTCTTAAAAACATGCCTTTAACTTCAAGCATAATAATAATTATTGGAAATACCTTCCTGTGGAATGACGTCATTCAATTTGACGTCATGTCACCAAAAGACGTTTATGTAACGTTACTTTGAAAAAATCTGTGGCATAATATGTAACAGAAGTGCTATTTTGAAAATGCCCAAAGTGGCGACGTCTGATGAAAATGCGGCGCAGCGCGATGTCATTGAATACTGTGTTCAGTTGAAGAAGCGCCCAGCGTTAATTGACAACATGGAGAACATTATATTTAATCAAGATAATGCACCTTCCCATAGATCTCAGGAGACACAGCATGAACTTGATGTAATAGGTTTTCAGAGACTTCCATACGCCCTTAGACTTTGCAGTGTTTCCTTAAAATGCCCCCACTTATATAGCGTTGAACTTGTCCGTCCGTCCGTACGTCTGTCCGTACGTCCCGAAATCTTGTGAACGCAACTCATCTTAAACCGGATGGCAGATTTTGCTTAAATTTCCAGGGATGAACAACCTTAATATGTAGATGGAGATAAAGGAAGGAATTTTCGCTGCGACCAAATTTAACAGAATTATGGCCCTTTGTTGATTTTTTCACTATATACTATGTAGAAATTTTGTGAACGCATCTCCTCTTAAAACCCGATGGCAGAGTTTGCTTAAACTTCCAGGGATAAACAACCTTAATGTGTAGATGGTAGGAAAGGAAGGAATTTTTGCTGCGACCAAATTTAACAGAATTATGGTCCTTTGTTGATTTTTTCACTATATACTTTATGGAAATTTTGTGAACGCAAGTCCTCCTAAACCGGATGGCAGATTTTGCTTAAATTTCCAGGGATGAGCAACCATAATGTGTAGATGGTAGTAGAGGAGGGAATTTTTGCTGCGACCAAATTTAACGGAATTATGGCCCTTTGTTGATTTTTTCATTATATACTATGTAGAAATTTTGTGAACGCAACTCCTCTTAAAACCCGATGGCAGATTTTGCTTAAACTTCCAGGGATAAACAACCTTAATGTGTAGATGGTAGTAAGGAAGGAATTTTTGCTGCGATCAAATTTAAAAGAATTATGACCCTTTGTTGATTTTTTCACTATATACCATATAGAAATTTTGTGAACGCAACTCCTCTTAAGAGAGGATGGCAGAGTTTGCTTAAACTTCCAGGGATGAATAACCTTAATGTGTAGATAGATGGTAGTCACGGAAGGAATTTTTGCTGCGACCCAATTTAACAGAATTAAGGCCCTTTGTTAATTTTTTCACTATATACCATATATATGTTGTCGGTTGGGGCATCCTGTCCTTTGGACACAGTTCTAGTTTGAAATCACAGTAACGAGGTCACATGTTCGAATACTTCAGCGAACTCAGCCAGGAAACTCTACGAGAACATTGACTCTATTAAGAATATTGAAGCAGGACTATTTTGATATTGTTTATGATGAATGGGTCGCCCTACAGTGGATCGGTGGATCGAGAAACGCGGAGAATACTTTGAAAAACAGTTTTAAAAATCTTATAACGTCACGACGTTTATGACGGCGTGCGGCGGGTATGTATAGATAGCAATCTTTATCTTTTGATAACTTGATCAACTTTAGAGGTATTTTGATTTTATTTCGCATAGACACACATAAAAGGTGCATTGATTTTCCTTAGCTGGACGACTCTATTGCATTATAATTTATAGAGTAACAGACTTTGTCTACGATATTTTGGGTCAACCCTTGTACAGGTATAGAGATTCATTTTATCACTATTTTTTGTATATCAAAAAGGGTTTATTTAGTTTGTTTGTTTTTGGGGGATTTTTTGTTTGTTTGTTTTTTTATTTTATTTTTCGTTTTTTTTTGTTTTGTTTTTTTAAAAAGGTTTCACTTTTAAGGGGTAGAAAGGGGAACCCAAGACTTGACGAGCAACTGTGCCAATGCATGCAAATTTGGATAAAAGAAAGACCAGAAGTCCACTGATTATAACTGAACCGGAACATGCTGACGATAACAGTAAGTAACAACTTTTTTGTAGAAACGAATATTTTTTGTCAAAAACGATTCGAAATATATTCTCTATTGTATAAAACTAATTAAGAAAATACTTAATCGTAAAAATACTAACATTGACTCTCCCAAGTAGAGGAAATAAAAGTATCTATTATTCTGAAGGAAAACAAGTTTGCACATTTCTATTTCCACTTTTTGCAGAAGAGAATTAACGAACACAGTCCATCAGATATATCTTGTTTTTGATCCTGGTAACATGGAAATTCATTTCATTACTATATAAACGCAAACATTCAGAAGATATTTGACTGATATAATTTGCCTTAAAATATTTTTAAAAGTTCGCCAGTTTAGTTTCCCATTTGAGTGAATTTGTAACATTTCATAGATATATACATATGGGCGAATTCAAGAAGTCAATCTCCGAAATTGACGGAGATTGTTGAGTTGTTACGATTGATATTTAAATAGACATTTTCTCGGCAAATATTGTTTACCAATCATTTCAATTTTTCTTGTTATCCAATTTATTTTGTTTCAACCAGACGTTTCCAATAGTGTTGCATCAGACAAACATTTCAGACTTTCAGACACATAACAAGAACACGGAGAAAAAATTGATTAGTGCTTCGGATATTCAACTGTAATAGAGAACGATTTTCAATTAAGATTTTGTACATTACCTGTGACTGTTCACATCATGTGGCGTCTTTGATATGCAGCATCAACATTTAACTTGTTATGTTCTAATTTGTTACACTCAAACGAGCATCAATCATTTACATTCTTTAATGATACACCTTTGAAATAATAAACAACACATAGTTTAAAGAGGTTAGAGGGAGTATTTGTAAGCCGTCGACTCTAACCGTTTACTAGTATTTCCCAACCAACAAAGACAGAATTCTTGATATAAAGCTACATATCAATATTTGTTAAGACAAAAGTCTAAAAAAAGCTTCCACATGACTTATAGTAATAAATTTTCTAAGCAAATTCATCTGTTGAAATGTGCCAAATATTTCGTGTAGAAGTAAAGTTTATGATTATGAACTTTCCAATATAATTGACTGAAAGAATTTTGTAAGTTTTTGAAAATGCTGCGAGCGGGGTACCCAACCCTACTCCAACGTGGGAGGGGGGGGGGGTATTGTTGAAGGATGAATCCAGACTCAAAACCAGCGGCTCCTTCGAACATACATGTACCTGACATAAAACCCAAATTTAGCAGTCGTAAAGGTAAAAGGAAACGAATTTTGAAAATTCTAAATAGGCAAAGACACAGATAATTACTCCCTGAAATAAACGCATTTCATGTACATAATTATATGCAAACAGCTAGAATAATAATTCACAGTGAATCAAAACAGAATTAAATGAATATGCATCGACGATTTTGAAAGTCCATGGATATTGTTTAGACACATGTTTACTTTGCTCCGAGCTGTACATAATCCTGAAAAAGAAAACAATTGTAAGAAAAATTTACAAAACTTTCTGTATAATATAATCGAAAATATTTCAATCTTTTCGGAAATGTCACATCTAAACGGCTTGACAAATATACCTCGAATGCCCGTTTTTTTTCTCTTGATATTCAATCCAGCATTTAAAGTAAGTTAAAATATGACTTTAAACATATAATTTCACATGTATATTAAAATAAGAAAATATGATAAATGTATGCAATTTTAAGATAGTATAATGTGGGTGTTTAATTTGAATTTCTGAAAGGGACACAATTCAATTAACATTTATGACAACTGGAAGGCATTGTTTCCCCCTTCTTTTAAAACCAAAAGAGGAAGTAAAGTAGCTAAAATTCCACCTTAACTGTTAAACAGAAACAAATTTTGTTCTTGACTTTTTCATGACATTTGAATCAAACATTCAAAGTAAGTTAAATAGTTTTTTTCCATACATATTGTTTCATATTCAATATATCATTAATACATGCAAAATTTAAGATAGTATAACGCGAGTAATTAATTTCAGTGGCTACCTAGTCAACCAATGCTATTAACTCTTGTTGGCGGCTGACAATTAATTTTCACTCTACATATCTTACAGAATGTTTCAAGAACCTGACATCAGAGAAAATCTATCACGGAAGTTATCAGAGGTTTTGCATGACATTGGTGTCAATGAAATAATGGTGATGAAAACGAGAAAAAATTCCATGCTGAGAGAGACTATGAGAAATATCATTCACAGGTTAACTGATCTAAATATAACTGAATATTTCCTAGGGAGTCAGAGTGAAGGTACAACTACTATAGGACTTAATTCAGACTTTGATATACTAGGCTATCATCATGATTTCAATGTAATACAAGACTGGTCAGAGTGGGCACGTGACAAGTTCAACTTGCTCATGATACAGGATGAGAACACTACCCCCGGCTATTGTTTCTTACAATTGCTCCGACATGATGAACCTCTTCCTCTCACTGTTATTCCCGGTGAATACAATATAACTGATCGAAGTGGAAGAGTATTGCTTAAAAATACAATAATAAATGGTTTGATTCAGGGTGCCGTAGGTCATGGACCAGCACTTAATGAACAAGAAGAACCTGGATTACCTGATACAGACAATGTGATAGCTTGTTCTTGTAAATCCTGGCCTCAATCAGCATTAGGTTGGTTAGAGAGACAAGGTATTGGCAGATGGCCAACTGAAGAGATGAGAAGATATGCAGCCAGTACTGGCTGTTTTGTTGTTGCAACTGGAAGTAAGATTAGTAAATATCCTGAATTGGAATGGAGAATATCTACATCATTGGCAGAGAGGTGTCTAGTGCTAAATTTAAATATAACACAAATAAGGTGCTATGTGTTATTGAAAATGATTCTAAAAAAATTCCTTAATCATCGTGGTAAAATTAATATATCGAGTTTCATGTGTAAAACAGTTCTATTACATTGTATAGAAAACACAGAGCCAAGTATATGGGAAGAGAACAAATTATTTACATGTTTAACATACTGCTTATTGGAATTACACACCTGTGTACAGAATGGCTATTGTTCACATTTCATTATTCAAGAAAACAATTTGATGGCAGGCGAATTTACAGCTGAGACAAAACGTGAACTTTTAAGACATATAAGTGAATTCATACAAAATGATAGACACATTTTACTTAGAATTGATATTGATAATCTTGGTCATAGACTACAAGTAAAATTGAACATGTTACCATATGCAGCATACTTCATGTATTCTCTAATTTCTCTTGAAATATACAAAAATTTGTTAACATCAGAATATTTAAACATTGCATACGCCTTCAGTCAAAATCATCGACACATTTTAAAACATTTACACAATAAGAACATTGGGACAATAAAGAAATCTTTATGTAAACTTATAACTTTCTGTGATAATGGTAATAGATTAGATCAGGCAGCATGCAGGTTCATGACACCTTTAATTTTTACCACATATGGATCTGTCTTAGCATCATCTAGCATTCATGAAAATAATCAAGTGTCACCTGAAGCATTGGTTTGGTTATCAGCTGGTTTAAACTCAGATATCTCGTCTAGCAGACTCAAATTGGCTTCAGTGTTCTACAGTACAGGAGATATGAAGAAAGCTGAACTAATTCTTAGACACGCACATCAACAATATTACTCTTATCCTGTTGTACCAATCTGTACATGCTGGAATAAGCTTCCACTAGCAGTAACAGCAGAATTCAAGAAGGTATCTAGTGAGCAAAGTGAGGACTGTATCAAACATATTACAGCATTCTGTGTCAGATTCATACAGAAAGAGATCAACTGTATTCCTCATGAACTACAATATGAAATGTTCAGATCTACACAAGATGACATGATTCGCAGAAATGAGAATAAAGACTGTTGGATGGACTGGGCGGTAGTTGATTCTCTACCTTTTTTATACTTCCTACAATATAAGATCTACAGTCATTTTCAAAGGCATCAAGATCAACAACAAGCCCTAAATAAACTGATAAGAACCATAGTAGCAGATAAAAACCTTGCACATAGAGAAACAGCCTTAAACATTTTAGGACAATGTATGGAACAAGAAAACAGACCTCAACAGGCTTTAAAATGCTACATGCTTTCTCTACAACAAAGACAAAGGAACAATGTAGCAAACCTCCATATTTGTAAGCTCCTTTCTGGGGTTTTGAATGGCCAATAAAAATATGGTCAAAAACAGACTTGAATTTCAATAATCATAAACTGTTTGTGTGTATCAAACTATTCAAAAGTTAAAGTATATGTTTTTTCATTCTTTTTTCTACATTTAATTCTTAGACAACATTAAGGACGTTTTTTGGGAGTTTTCATATAACACAGGCAAAAATCACAAAACTGTTTAATAGAATTTCTTAAACTTTGCTTGTTGTTAGAATATGATAACAGAAAGATTTTAAGTGTCAGCAATTTGGAGGTCACCTTTTTCGTTTTTGAGCTATCTGCCCCATTCAAGGGTAGAGAAATCATAATGAAATTAAACACTACTTTATTATTTCTTATTTTCATGTACCTTAATTTGGTTTAAGTCATTGTGCATCTTTTTAAGTATCAGTTAAGAGCGGATTGTTTCGTCCTTATCGTCTCTAAACCTATGCCTTTATCCTTAAAAGACGGCCTATTTCAAAAGTACCTTAACTCACTGATTTATATAAATATGTGCTTCACTTTACTTAAACGTTTAGTTTCAGTTTATTAATTTGCATGTTCTTATGTGATCATCAATTATAAGGAAAGCGTAATCCAAAAAATATATGAAAGCCTGAAATGACCTTAAATACGTAAATAATTCTGATTCAATAGTAGATGACTAAAATTTAAATTGTTGACACCCAACGTATTTTGCTTATAAAATTTCTGTTTATTGTTTTCTAATACAACGCCGGGCTTAAAGAAATTCTATTTCAAGAACAGTTTTGATTTTGCCTCTGTCTATATTAAAACTTCAAAAAAACGTCCATTAACTGAAAACATCCTACTGTATTTTTTTTAACTCAAGAACCTCTTCTAAAGAGAACCATTGCTCTAACTTGGGAATAACTTTTAATTTGGTTAACAAGATTATGTTTATCAAAGAATTTATTATTATTATATATATATGTGTGAAGTCAAACTGCATTCAATAAATCTGTCACTTGTATATTACATTTATCAGTCTTGATCTGTCAATATGAAGTCAACAAGCAAGTATTCTGTAAGAATCATGACCCGGAAAAATATATTTATTTAAGTTTGTGAACCAGTCAGTTTGCCATTGTTCTGTTTTCAAAAAATGAATTTAACAACAGCCTATCGGATAAAACAAGGTGGTTTTATAGTTAGTTATTAATGTGGGCATTGACCTGATTTTTATGCGAATTCCTTAAAAGAGTTTACATTTTCATTGTAATAACAGATGAGGGCATTAGAGTTTATTGTTTAAAGTGTTTGTTTTTTAAATAAAGCAGATTTGTTGATCAATGGATTTAGCTTCTTTAAGCATGTTAATGCTTTTACCAGAAATCACCAATAAATTAACATTTAACTATTGTCCCACCAATTCAGTTCTCTTCTAATTTCTCACAAAAGTCTTAACGAAATTTGTGATTGACATGTTTTCTATGCCATACACGGCCAATAATCCATTTCTAATTCTGTAATTCAATGACGACTATTTGTATTATATTTTGAACTTCAATGCCAAAAATTCTAAAATAAGTTTTTTTTGTGATAAGTTAGATATTGAATGTTTATGATTTGAATGAAATAAAGTTTATGAATGGTTTATAAAAATGAATTACAAGGCCAATAAATCATGCGATATGTCAGTTTATAGTTTGAATGACGATAGTTCATGAATGGTTTAAATGAATTACAGGGCGATAGGTCAGTTATTAAATGTTTACGATTTGAAATATCATGATGAAACAATTTTACTTGTATAGTATCCAAAGTTAATACATCTAAAATACATTTGAGAGTTTGTCAGGATGAATGTAATGTAATTGAATAAAATGTTTAGAAAAAATGATGTATTATCTAGAAAAGCCTAAAAATAATTTGCGATGAATAGATATTTTGAAAAAGTATGAGTGCATGTCTGCTGGTAGGACGAACCCACCTACCTGTGTTTCAATTGAAGAGAATAAACGAACGTAGTCCATTTTACATTTCTTGATGTTGATCCTACTTACATTTATATATAAACACAAACATTGATATTTTCAGAAGCTAAATGATGGATGTGATTTGCCTTAAAATATATATATAAAGCATGTAAGTTTAAATAAGAAAAAGGTGAAAAAGAATTTAAAAAGTCTGTTATCACTGAAAGTCATTTTTTCCAGCATGTGCCAGCAGATGGATACAATTTTGAAAAGATTTGCGCAATTTTAAGTGATTGAAATATCAACTTTTAATGTAAAGATTGGACGGTGATAGTTCTGCAATAGCTTTTTTTACATGCCATTGTATTTTCTAAACAATAAGCATAATCATATAACAAAGTAGTAGAAAGAAAATAACATTATGTCAGTCTTATACCAAGTCGATGAAAAATATGTCTGTTATCTAAATTAGTTCCTGAATATGAGCCCCGCAATTGAGGGTCTTCAGATTCTTTCATCAGAACAAAAACATCAGTGGTTCTACTCGGATTCCCCTTCGTCTTTGAAATAATGCATACAGTAGAGGGACACTCCAGCTGAATAACTTGAAAGTTCCAATATAAAAAAAGGAAATGGCCAAAAAAATCTGTATGTACAATCTTGAGTGATCATGTTTGCTACAAACATTTTATTAAATACTTTTTTGATCTCTGATAAAAATACGGTCATTTATCTTTTCATAATGTTTTCTGTAATGGCTTAAAAATAAAACTGTAAGGCTTATTGTGCCAGTTTCTTGAATTTAGAATGCATATAATCTACATGTGTTAAATTTTTAAAGGGACACAATTCAATAACTTTAATACCAACAGGAAGAGGAAGTGATTCATTTCTCCTTCACATCATTCATTCAAAACCAAAAGAGGATGTTAAAATAGTATATTTTCGATCAAGATCTACCCTATTAAACAGAAACAAATGTATTTCCTTGATAGAAAATCCAGCATATAAAGTAAGTAAAAAATAATTTAAATTTCTTATTTATATCAAAATTAGAAAACATAATGATGGTGCTTGATTTAAATTTCTGAAAGGGGGAACAATGCAGTTTTTTTTTATAACAACAGGAAGTGGTACTGCATAGTTTTCCCTTCATGCAAAACCAAAAGAGGAAGTGAAATTCTACGTAGCCTATTAAACAGAAGCAAATATTTTTTCTTGATCTTTATGAATCCAACATTGAAAGTAAGTTAAACAATATTTTTTCCTACACATTTTACATTTGTATTAAAGTTTTAATATATCAATAATACCATACATGTAAAATTTAAGATAGTGAAATACGAGTTAATCATTTAAATACCTTCCTAGTCAATATATGCTACATGTAATAAACATAAATATGCGCTGTTAACAAGACATTAAACACAAAAATACATCATTTTCAAATTTTTAACTACTGATCCTTTAAAGCCTTGAACAACTATGTAACTATGCAAACAAATACAGTAAAGTAAGGGACATTACTTAAATTTAGATTTGATAATTTATTTAAAGTGAGTTATGTTTCTTCGGTAATTTTATTGACAATTAAGAAGAAAATTTATTTCCAGAATTACAGGAACACAATTTTTGATTAGGTAAATTACTGCTGAAATTACATTTTAAAGCAGCAGCAGGAAGATATCAAGGAAAATAAAAAAGAGAAAAAAGTGATTATAAGTCGATGTATTCGTCAACTTATTAAATGAAATTTTCTTATATCAACACTATTTATCCTGTCATGTCATATTGTATGATATAAAGGATAAATAAATAACAAGTAGAATTATTTAATAAAATAAATATAGTGGCTGACTGAAACAATTTTCCGTTCACAAATATATTACAGAATGTTTCAAGAATCTGACTACAGAGAAAACCTGTCATTGATGTTATCAGAGGTTTTACATGACATTGGTATCAATGAAAGAATGGTGATGAGAAGGAAAAGACATTACATGCTGGCAGAGACTATGAGTAATAACACTTACAGGTTAATTGATGAAAATATGACTGAATATTATCTAGGGAGTAAGAGAGAAGATAAAACTACTATAGGACTTGATTCAGACTTGGATATACTATTCTGTAACCATGAAGTCATATAATACAAGACCGGTCAGAGTGGGAACATGACAAGTCAAACTACCTCATGATACAGGATGAGAACACTACCCCTGGTTATTGTTTCTTACAACTGCTCCTACCTTATGAACCTCTTCCTGTGTCATTCCTAATGAACAACATATTATTGATAGAAATGAAAGAATATTGTGTAAAAACACAAAAAAGTACATATACACGGTGCTGTAGATCATGGACCATCCTTGTTCAGTCAAGGACAACATGGATATTGTGATAGAGATCATGTGTTAGCTTTACCATGTAAATCATGGCCTCAATCAGCATTAGGTTGGTTAGATAGACAAGGTATTAGCGGATGGCCAACAATAGAGATGAGAAGATATGCAGCCAGTACTAGGTGTTTTGTTGTTCCAACTGGAAGTAAGGTCAGTGAATATCCTGAATTGGAATGGAGAATATCTACATCACTGGCAGAAAGGTGTTTAATGTTCAATTTAAATATAACACAAATAAGGTGCTATGTGTTGTTGAAAATGATTCTAAAATCTTCCATTTATCCTGGAGGGACAATTGATATATCAAGTTTCATGTGTAAAACAGTTCTATTACATTGAATATGGAAAAAGAACAATGTATACACATGTTTTACAAATTGTTTATTGAAATTGCACATTTGTGTACAGAATGACAGATGTTCACATTTCATTATCCAAGAAAATAATTTGATGGCAGGGAAATTAACAGCTGAGACAAAACATGAACTTTCAAAAAATATTTGTGATTTTATACAGAATGGAAGACAACAGTTATTTAGGATTGCTATTGATGATCTTGGTCTTAGACTGCAAGTTAAACTGAACATGGTACCACATGGACTATACATTATTCTGAATTCTCCTGAAACGTACAATTTATCTCTTTTAAACAGTGATTTTTTATACATTGTATCTAATATAAGTGTAACCCAACTGAAAGTTTTAGAACATTTATACGATAAAAACATTAGGACAATGAAGCAATCTTTAGGTACACTAAAGACCTTCAGTGTTAATTGTAATAGATTACAACAGACATGCAAGTATCTAGCACCTTTTCTTTTTACCACATATGGGTCTGTCCTGGCATCATCTTATATTGGTCAAAATAATAAAGTTTCACCTGAAGCATTGGTTTGGTTATTAGATGGTTTAAATTCAGATATCTCATCTAGTAGACTTAAATTGGCTTCAGTGTTCTACAGTACAGGAAATATGGAGAAAGCTGAAGTAATTCTGAGACACATTGAACAACAATATTACTCTTATCCTGTTGTAGCTATCTGTGAATGCTGGAGGACGCCTCCACCAGCAGTAACTGCAGAATTCAAGAGGGTATGTAGTGAGCAAAGTGTTGACTGTATCAAACATATTACAGCTTTTTGTGTCAGATTCATAAAGGTAGAGATCAACTGTGTTCCCCATGAACTACAATATGAAATGTTCAGGTCTACACAAGATGACATGATCCACAGAGATAAAATAGAAGACTTTTGGATGAACTTGGCTATAGTCGATTCCCTACCTTTCCTGTACTTCCTACTATATAAGATCTACCGTCATCTACAAAGACAACAAGATCAACAACAAGCAATAAGTAAACTTATAAGAACCATAGCAACAGATAAAAACCTTGGACATAGAGAAACAGCTCTCAACATCTTAGGACAATGTATGGAACAAGAAAACAGACCTCAACAAGCATTAAAATGTTACCTGCTTTCTCTCCAGCAAAGGGCAAGAAACAATGCAGCAAACTTTCATATATGTAAGCTCCTTTTTGGGGTATTGGCTGGGCAATAAAATTGAAACCGACAGTTATAAGACTTGAATGTTCAGTAATCATAAACTGCTTGTGTGTATCAAACTATTTAGATGTTGAAATATATGCTTTATTATCCATCTTTTGTTACATTTGTCATTTAGTTTATACAAATTTATTTTAGTTCGATTGTGTTGGAAGCTATAAGCTTAATGAAACACTCCCGAATCCGTTCCTGGAACCAACCAGTACTAAGCAATGAATGTATAGTTTCTTGCTCAAGGAAACAGCGGCTTGCCCCTGACAGGGTTTGAACCCACGCGGTCAGCAATCCTTATATTACTAGTCAGACGTGTTAACCACTCGGCCACGTTTGTCATTTAGACAGCATTAAAGACGCTTTTGGAAATTCATACATTTAAATTTAAAATTTGCGAGTTGTAAGAATGCAACAGAAACATTTAAGCGAAACTAATTTGGGTTTCACCTTTTTCATTTTTGAGTTATTTGGGCCTTAATTGGACTATAAGGACAGATATTTTTGATAAATGGTTTTCAAAATATTAATATTGAATATTTAGGACTCAAGGGCAGATAATTCAGAATAAAGGTAAACAATACCTTATTATGCCCCCCTTCGAAGAAGAGGGGGTATTTGTTTTGCTAATATCGGTCGGTCGGTCCGACGGTCTGTCTGTCGGTCGGTCTGTCTGTCCATTGGTAGACTAAATGGCTTAAAATCTATAAATCACAAAGTCTCCATATTTCACCTACTTATTGGTAATAACTAGTAGATGACCGAAATTGATCTTGAGGTCACTAGGTCAAAGGTCAAAGTCACAGCGGACTTAAATGTCAGAAAGGTTTCAGCTCATTATCTACAATAAACTATCACATATAAGTCTTCATATTTCGTGTACTTATTTGTCATAACTAGTAGATGACCCCTCTTGATTTTGGGAAAGTCACAGGGGCCATAAAAGTCAGAATGGTTACTATTCATTATCTTTATTTTTTATCACAAACTAGAAGATGACCCTATTGATTTTGGGATCATATGATAAAGGTGTAGGTCACAGAAACCTTAAAAGTCAGAATGCTTTCCGCTCATTTTCTCTAAAACTATTAAATCGCGAAGTCTTCATATTTCATATACTGATTTATCATAACTAGATTAGCCCTATTGATTTTGGGGTGACTAGTTTAAAGGTCAAGGTCACACGGCCTTAATTGTTTCCACTCATTATCTTGAAAGATTTTTATCACATAGTCTTCATATCTTACATACTGATTTTTCATAAGTAATAGATGACCCCTATTGTTTTTAGGTCACTAGGTTTAAGGTCAAGGTCCCCGGAGTCTTAAATATCACAGTACTTTCTATTAAATATTTTGAAAATCATTTATCACAAAGTCTTCATTTTCACATACTTATTGATCATAACAAGTTGATGACCACTATTGATTACTGGGTCACTAGGTTAAAGGCCTAGGCCTCAAATGTGAAATAGTTTTCGCTTATTATCTTAAAAACTGTTTATCACAAAGTCTTCATATTTCTGATACTGATTTTTTCATAAATAGAAGACGACTTCTATTGATTTTGGGTTTACTAGGTCAAAGGTCAAGGTCACAGGGGCCTTTAAAGTCAGAATGGTTACCACTCATTATCTTGAAAAATATGTATCACAAAGTCTTCATATTTCACATACTTATTGGTTATAACTAGTAGATGACCCCTATTGATTTTGGGATCATAGGTTAAATTTATACGTCACAGGGGCCTTAAATTACAGTTCACTTTCTTAAAAACTTTTCTCACAAAGTCTTAATATGTCATATATTGATTTATCATAACTAGTAGATTATCCATTTTGATTTTGGAGTCAATAGGTAAAAGGTCAATGTCACAGAATAGTTGTCACTCATTTTTTTCTAGCACTAAGGCTTTATAATTCACATACTGATTTGTCATAAATAGTAGATGACCCCGATTGATTTTGGGTTACTAGGTCAAAGGTCAAGGTCACGTGGCCACTCACAATGGTTTCCACTCAATATTTTGAAAACTATCAAAGTATTCATATTTCAAATACTGATTGATAATAACTAGTAAATGACCCCAATTGGTTTTATGGTCACTATGTCAAGGTCACAGGGGCCTTAAATGTCACAATGTTTTCGCTCATTATCTTGAAAAATATTTATCATAAAGTCTTCATATTTCACATATTGATTAGTCATTATGTAGTAGAAGACCCCACATGATTTTTGTGTCACTGGTTTAAAGGTCAATGTTACAGAGGCTTTTAATGCCAAAAATAGTTTCCACTTAATATCTTGTTTACTACTTATCACTTAGTCTTTATATTTCACATATTGATTGATTATAACTAGTAAATGATCCCTATCGATTATGGGGTCTTTAGGTCAAAAGTTAAGGTCACAGGGATCTTAAATGTGAGTATGTTTGTCTTCAAAGCTTAGTGTTATTAAGTCTTTGTGTTTCACATTTTAATTGATCACAAGTAAATGATTTTGAGGTCACTATGTTAAAGGACAAGTCACAATAACCTTGAATGTACAAATGGTTTCCGCATATTCTCTTGACACCAATAAGTAACCAAGTCTTCGTACTTCACATATTAATTTGCCATAACTAGTAGATGACCTTTTTGATTTTGGGGTCACTAGGTTACAGGTCAAAGTCACAGGGGCCTTACATGTGAGAATGGTTTCCGCAAATTATCTTATAAACCATCTATTACAAAGTCTTCATATTTCACATATTGATTGGTCATAACTAGAAGATGACCGTTGTTGATTTCAGGGTCACTAGGTCAAAGGTCAAGATAACAGTAATGTCAAATATAAAAAGCGTTTCCGATTAATAACTATTGAACGGCAAGTCTTACAAATGTCAAAGTTGGCTGAACACTTCCATGTTCCAAAGTTTGGCATGCTTCTATAACAAATTTACCAACAGTCTGAGTCCAGGGCTAGAAAGGACTGGCATATGTATTGTTCGACATTTCTTGTTTTTTTCTTATTTTCATATTTGGCAGCTTATTTTGGTTTGATTTATTTTCAAGAATTAATAAAGACTACATTGTTTTTTTCCTTTCTTCTCTAAACCTATGCAATTTTCTCTTAAAAATGGCCTATTTTAAAAGTCCCTTTATTCAAACTGAAAACCTTTTATAGAAATAATTTATAAAATTGCATGTTCTTATGTATTGTGATCATTAATCAAAAAACATAATCCAAAAGTAAAACGAACAGTTTTGTAGACTTATGTATAAGATATTTGCCCTTGAAATGTACCTTAAATGAGTACATGTAAATAATTCTGACTTAAGGAAGGGAGGGGGGCAGAAATCTCAAAAGTTAGATCAGTGACACCAAACTTATTTTGCCTAAAATGTTTCTGGTAACATTTTCCAACAAAATACCAAGTTTAAAGAAATTCTATTGAACAGTTCCAATTTTGTCTGTGTCTATATGAATCTCCAGAGAACGTCCATTAACTGAAAATTCCAACTGTAATATTTTGAAAAGAAAAGAAAAGAAACATTGCTCTAACTTGAGAATAACTTGGTTCACAAGATTAAGTTTTCCAAAGAATTTATTACATATACATGTAGTCTAAACTGCATTTAATAAATCTGTCACTTGTATATTACATTTATCAGTCTAGTTTTGTCAATATCAAGTCAGCAAGAAAGTGTTCTGTAATAATTATGACCCTGAGAAAATATAGTCTGTAAATTTTGTGGACCAGCTAGTCAGTTTGCCATTGTTCTGTTTTCAAAAAATGAACTTAACAACAACCAATCGGATAACAAGTTTTCAAAATGGTTTCATAGTTAGTTATCAATGTGGGCATTGATCTGATTTTTATGTGAATTCCTTAAAAGAGTTATATTTTCATTTTGTAATAACAATTGAGGGCTTTGGAGTTTATTGTTTAAAGTGTATGTTTTATGAATAAAGCAGAGATTTAACTTCTTTATGCATGTTAATGCCTTTACCAGAAACCACAAATAAATTAACATATAATCATTATCCCACTAATTTAGGTTTTTTTTCTAATTTTTCACAAATGTCTTAACGAAATTTGAGATTGATATGGTTGTTTATTAATATGTTTTTATGCCATACACGGCCAATAATCCATTTCTAATATGTTATTCAATGCTTACAATTTGTATAATATTTTGAACTTTATTGCCAATAATTGTAAAATTATCTTATTTTGATGTGATAAGTGAGATATTGAATGTTTAATGATTTGAATTAAATTAGTTTATGAATGGTTTATAAAAATGAATTACAAGGCCAATTAATCATGCGATAAATCAGTTTATAGTTTGAATAACAAAAGTTAATGATTTGGTTAAAATGAATTACAGGATATTGTGATAAATCAGTTATTGAATGCTTATGACTTAAATTACTCAGCCAATTATCATGATGAAACAATTTTATTTGTATTTTATCCATAGTTAATACATTTAAAATACATTTGAAAATTTGTTAGGATGAATGTAATGTAAGTAAAAAATGTTTCGAAAAAATGATGTATTATCTAGAAACGCCTAAATTTTTTTGAGGTGAATAAATATTTTGAAAAAGTGTGTGTTCATGTCTGCTGGTCGGACGACCCCGCCCACCAGCATTTCAGTTGAAAAAAAATAAACGAACACAGTCAACCAGACATCTCTTGTTGTTGATCCTAGTTACATGGAAATTTATTTCATTTATGTAAACAAAAACATTGATATTTTCAGAAGCTAAATGATGGATGTGATTTGCCTTAATATATTTTAACAGTTTTCCGTAACATTTCATGGATTTATACATGTTTTACAAGTGTATGACATTAGACATCAACATTTATTACATGTATATGACATCATTTCTCTTTCTATATTTCACCATTTTGATAGATGATTTATCTGTATACAACCACCACATTTTTTTAGTTATTTCAACATGTGTATCAATAGAGAAATGTTAAATGAAAAGAGATTTCTTTGTTCATGATTTAAATATTTGTTCTTAAGGATTACCTTTAAATTGCCATATTTCTGTTTGAAGGAAGAGATTGTATATAATTATAATAGTTATAATATTAATTATGAACAGGCAGATATATAAGTATTTTTCTCTCTTTTACATTAGTTACTCAAATACAAGTGTCATCTAAAGCATGCTTCACAACAAAATATGTTAATGAGTATTGTTGGGTTTTTGTTGTTCATGTGATTTTAAACAATCTAATCTTGTTTACTTCCCCAGGTATTTTTATCCCGCTTACCACCTGTGATACCCATTCGGAACATCTTGGCGATTATCAATAATTCTTACACGACCTGCATTTTCCCTTATTGAATATAGAGTGTACGTGTATGTAATCACTGTTGACGATCATTATTCAGACATATGACATAATTATTGAAAATGCAACAAGCTAAAAATAATTACATTACTTAAATTCAAAGCATGAAAAGAATGAAAAAGCATGAAGAAAAAAGGTGAAAATTAATTTCAAAAGTATGTTTTCACTGAAAGTCAATGTTTTGCAAACATGTGCCAGCAGATGGATAAAATTTGAAAAGGTTTGCGCAAGTTTTTGTGACAGGAAAATCAACTTTAATTGCAATTGTTTGGTAGTTCTTTCACTTTCTCATAATACTATAACTAAAACTATAAAGTAGAGAAAAGTAACATTAAGTCAGTCTTATACCAAGATGGTGAAAAATACGTCTGTAATATATTTAAATTATATAAAAAAATCTTAATATATTGTGTTTTTGAGCCTTGCAAGCGTCTTCAGATTCTTTCATGTGAAAAACATCAATGGTTCTACTCAGGTTCCCCTTCGTGTCTAAAATGATGCATAGACAGACACCTTAGGTCTTGCTCTACTAGAATATAGCTGGAGAGTCGTAATATGACGGAAAACCAAACTCTCCTCAAACAAATATTACACTATTGAATGATTATGATGGTAACACACAATTTTATTATATACCTAGCTATTAGTTCTCTGATAAAAATACGGTCATTCATCACATGCAACATTCTTTTTCTAGCATTTGCTTTTTCTATAATGGCTATAAAATAAAGGTATTAAGGTTTATTGTATTAAGGTTTATTGTATGTATTAAGGTTTATTGTGTCATTTTCTTAAATTTAGAATGTATACATTTGTTAAATTT